AAAATATATATATATATATATATATATTTTATTACAATTAATTTTAATGGCATTAAAGCCAACACCAATATCTTCAAACAACAAGAAGTTTTTCTTTCTCAGAGTTATTGGCATCATTGATATCAACAATATCAACCCAAAGGTCACGACTGCCTAAAAAAAGATAACACAATCAACACCTCTTCTAAAGGAAGGCTAAAATCTCATCCTTAAATTTGATATTTATAAAATTTAATTGCGTTGTGATCAAGTTGAATTGATTTATGTGATTGATGATTAAAGCTTCCTCTAACATGTTGAGATTGAAAAAATTTGCGAATCATTTGTTCAATACTAATTGTGTAATGAGAGCAAGGGATACGTGAATGACATGTAAAGCTTGTTTGCCCGCAACATCCACTTCTTGATCAACATAATGACGATAGATGAATTTATTTCTTAGTGCACATAATCGTCTATCTGCTCAATTTAAAACCCAAAGTAACAATTATCTCGCCACTTTTGATCTATTTGTCTTCCAAGTTTAGATTCAAAAGTTTTTTACACTAAAGCCTTTGATATGAGTGAATTAAATTGTGGTTACCATTATAGAGAATTAAATACAAATGAGTCGTTTGGTGCTTGTATAATACACTTTCATGAAGCAAGGTGGCCGCTTGATTGTAAATAAAAGAAATTAAATTGATCAAATCAGATTTTAATCCATAATCTTAAGGGCTAGCACATTTTTTCTTATTACTTTTTTAAAATATATTTACTTAGTGCTTTTTTATTTTTATTTTTAAAAATAAATTTAACAAAATTTTAAAAAATATTGATCCCAAAATTGCCCCTAAACCTATGGCAATTAACGATAGTATTTCGAGCCGACCGGGTGTATGCTCAAAACCAGCTAAAAAAAAATAATCCAAAATTTTGGCTCATAGCTCGGCCCGTTTATTTCGATCCAAGTCAAAATTTGAATCAATTTTCAAACGATTTACAATCCTCGAGCTAAATTTACTAAATTCATAACCATAAATCGGTTTGAAGAAAATTTGATCCAAAATTTTGGCTCGTAGCTCGGCTCATTTATTTCGATCCGATCTCGATCCGAGCCAAAATTCGAATCAATCTTCGAGCTAAATTCACAACACTACCTAAGTCTATGGGCAAAGAAAAAAACATATACTTCAACAAGTTTGATGTTAACTAAACTCAATATTACGACATATCTAATTAATCCTCCCTACATGTCAGAGCTCATCACATTCATCATCACTCTTAAAAAATATTAATAATATCAAATTTCATATAAAAGAAGATGAAAACACATGAAACAAACATGACTCAACCATGATTGAAGACATCAGACGCCTGGGAGCCATAAAGCACATGAACAATGGAGGAAAAACTAAAATTTACATACATAATGCATACCTCCAAATTCTTATGTATTTACATATTTACCACCTACACATCAATTTTCATTCATACCACCCAAATCTTTCATATCACATCAAAAAGACCATTATTTTAACTTTAAAACAGTGAACACACCTATTTATGCATGGGTAAAGCGGCACATATGAAAATTTCAAGTTTAGATGTTAGACATGTAAATATATAAGAATTGTGTGATATGCATGCAAATTTTCCTTTATTCTTTATAGAAAAAGCAGAAAATGGTCATAAAAAATAAAGGAAACCAACGAGCATTGTGCAATACAGCATGTAACGCACACGAACACCAACAGCACATATGATGCGTACAGCATCAGCGGCAGTAGCTGGTTGGAATATAAGAGCAGTTGTTACACGAACATTACAGAACTAAAATATGATAAATAACAGCAACTAAAGTTCTAAGCTTTAATGGTTGCAGTGCAAAGACAAGGACCTGATAGCTTCAAGGAAGAAGTTCGCCACTCCGATCCCACAGGAGCAGCTGGATCATAAATCAGCGTCTGATACCCAGGATGGTCCTCCAGCGAAAACAGCAGCAGCTTTTCGTCCAGAATCCCAAACTGAAAATCAATCGTGGAGCTGCCAGTGAGTGGCACCGGAATCTTCCTCCAAGAGTTGTCCTCGGGATCGAAGATGGCGAGCATCCTCTGATTCTTCCACTCCAGGCAAAAGAGCTGCTTTCCCAGCACAGCATGAGCGACGACCATCACACATCCCCCATTTTTCATCTCGCACCAAGAGTGCCCCTTGGGGTTGTACACATCCACAAACCTCGGGTGGCCTATGGTGAAAGTCGATCGGCCACCCATAACGTAGAGCTTGCCCCCGAAGCTACAGGCGAAGCAACCATATCTGGGTCGCCGGAGGTTTTCGATCAGAGTCCATTCGTTCGTGTCGGGGTCGTAGACCTCGGCGATCGAGAGGCTCTCACCGTCGGATCCATAGCCGCCTACCGCGTAGATCATACCGTTGAGTTCTGTGCAGGCAAATTCGTAGCGAGCAACCTTCATATTTGCTAGCGTGCTCCACCTGGGATCATTTGTTGCAAGATGATCATAATCAGGTGAGAATTTAATGAGAGTTTGATTGGGAAAAGGAAGCGTTTTGACATTAAGGCAATGTCAGCATAGCTTAGAAGGAAACAAAATGTAGCATCTCCATCTGTGGAAGCAAATATTGCAATCTTTATAGTTTTTTACGGGCTCCACTGGCTGGAAAACTCGATAAAAAAAGTGCATATGAAAAATGAGTTCTAAGTTACAAATCATTTGGATTTGATACAGAATCAACCTGTAAAACAGATACATTTTGTCTCATTTTCTTCACTTTCCTCCAATCCAAATGGAATCAAAGTCTACACCAAGTACTTTGTTGCGCCGGAAAGAAATCTCATCTCACCATTCTACCCATTTTTTGCCAGTAACAAGCATATCTCAAATGGTTAAAACAATGACCATGAAAACAATGATTGTCTTCAACAAGTAGAAAAGTTAACTAGTTAAGGAAAATATAAACGTGATTAATTTGATAATTAATAGAATTACACGCAAGAATAAAGGTATCATTGTCCACATGTAATTAATTTTTTTGAGAGTTTTTTCTCTTGATGCTGACTCATATAAATGAGGTATGCCTCATCGATGAAAAAACTATCATGCATTTAAAATAAGCCTGAGTGTTTGTGTATATGATGTTTGAACTTTAGAAATGTGATGAAGACAAGAAAGCGGGAGAAAATGTTTAGAAAAAATGAATGCCTTCTATTTATCATTAGCTGGTTATTAGGCGCTTATTAGGTCATAAATTTTTTTAGGATTTTTAGAAAAAAAAGCTCTCTTTTTAAGAGTTAGGACATCAATAAAAAAAAGTAAGAAGATAAGAGCCTTGGCTCATTCCCTCTTCCTCTAATCTACCACCAGTCGTCTCCCCCCTCTACCCGAAGCTTTAAGCAAGCTATGATTGTTATGTTATGAAGTTTAAACACCCGCAACCGAAGAAGCCCACAACAGCTGCAGAAACTCACAACTGCAAAAATGCCTGCACATGGACTTTCCGTAGCTACTTTCAAGGAAATGGGCGTAGCTAGGCAGGTCGGAGTAACCACACCAAAATGGGCGTAACCACTTTGCCGAGGGTCGATTGACACGGTTTGTTCCCAAACAGGCTAAATTACTACGTTGATAAGAGGTGTGACCACATCGCCGAGCGGTTCCTCCTGTTAATTTCCTTAAACTTGCAATTTCAAGCGACGAAGGCATCGTTCTCGCACGTGGTTCTTTTGATGAAGTTCTCGTGAAGGAGAGAAGAATCGAAGAGGAGGATTTCAGCATGCATTTTCTTTTGTGAGATTGAGAGGAAGAATTTGGAGCAAATTCTTGTAAGTTCCATTCATTGTACAAAGGAGATGAGTGAGTTATTTGTACAATTCTTGTTTTTCATGGTGAAAATTTCTTGGTGGCGCGACTCAATGTCTCGGAATTTTTAATGTTAAATATTGGTGTATTTTTTCTAAAATTATTTTGTTGTGCTTTTGTTAGATTGATTTTGTTTCAGATTTCGTGAACATGTGTGATCGGTGTGGTTTTGATTTCTAATTGATCAAATTCCTAGTCGAAGTAAATAAAAGTTTTATCCCAGCTAGTGGTATCAGAATAGAATGTTTGATTCGTGTGGAAGCAATGACCAATAAAGCAAAGCATAAATTGGAGAAGTTCAACGAGACAAATTTAGCGTTTTGGAAGATGTAAGTGGAGGATTTGCTATATCAGAGAAATTATATTTGTCACTACAAGGTATCACTAAGAAGTCAGAATCTATGATTATGGAGGAATGAGAGGTGTTGGGTAGAGCAACCCAAGGTTTTATCCGTTTATCACTTTCTTAGTTTGTTGCGTTCAATTTAGTGAATGAGAAAATTAAGGTAAATCTCATTGAGACACTGATAAAAATGTATAAAAAATCATCTGCTTCAAATAAGATTTTTCTGATGTAAAGGTTAATCAATATAATGATGATGAAAGACAATTAAGTGACAGAACTTCTGAACATTTTCAACACTGTAACAAGCCAGTACGGATCAAATTTAATGATGAAGGCAAGACACTGTTAATACTGTCTTCATTATCAAACAACAAGCGTGGTCTGGTGTTGGCAGTAACACTTATGGGAATATAAAGTTGAACTTCGATGACATCGTGAGATTGGTGCTGAACGAAGTTCACAAAAAATCAACTAATAATGAATCTTCAGCTACTGTATTGAATGTGAAAAATAGAAAAAAATAACATGAATGCAGATAGATTTAAGTCTAGAAGAGAAAAATTTAGGTCAAGCAGAGGAAATTGCAAAGGAGAATACTGGAATAGTTGAAAGAAATAACATTTCAAGAAAGACTGAAAAACTCCAAAAGAAGCCGGAGATAAAGGACGGAAAAGTAATCTCCCTGCAATGCCTCCACAATTGAAATCCAATGCGACATTGGTATTATCCCTAGTCAATCTTGAATCTTGCATAGTAGATTCATATGTCTCTTTTCATGCATGCCCCAATAAAGACATATTATTAAATTACACTTAAGAGTGATCTAAAGAAGATTTATATAAGAGAAAACAAGGCCTGCAATATCGTAAGGAAAAGGTGATATGAATATTAAGTCACCAAATGAAATAGTCTGGAAGCTCACTAACATTAGACATATTCTAAGTCTGAAGAGAAATCTCGTATTTGTGAGCCAACTAGCAAAGTTATGGTTCATGACTACTTTCACAGGTGACTCATGGAAGGTGACTAGGAGGTGATGATGGTAGCTCGGGGCAATAATAAAAACACTCTTTATTTGATCAATGAAATGACGAATTTCATTGATATGGTTGAAACTAAGGTGAGCGCATGTTTGTGGCACTGTAGACTTGACCGTGTGAGCAAAAAAGGAATGAAGTTCCTACCTCTTAACAATAAACTTCAGGGTTTGAATTCAATTGATTTAGATTTCTATGAGGATTGTATAATCATAAGCATAAGAAAATATCTTTCTATAAAAGTGGCCCAGTGATGAAGTCAAAGAAACTGAAGTTAGTGTATATTGATGTATGGGATCCTACTCCAGAGCATTCCATTGGAGGTTCCCACTACTTTATCACTTTTATTTACAATCACACCAGAAAGGTATGAGTTTACTTCTTAAAATAAAAATATGATGTATTTGAAGTATTTAAGAAATGAAATGTTATGGTAAAAAATGAGACAAACTTGAAGCTAAAATGTCTCATATCAGATAAGGAGAATTTGTATCGTGATAAGAAGTTCAGAAATTTTCATGCAATAGAGATGACAAGCATGAGTTCACTATCTCAAAGATACTGCAACAGAATAGCGTGACTGAGCACATGAACAAAATAATGAAGCATGCTAGGAGCTTAAGACTGCATGTAGGCTTGCCAGAATAGTTTTGAGTTGAAATCTGATTAACCGTGGTCCATCAGTACCTTTGGAGAAAAGCTTACCTGAAGAAGTCTGGAGTGACAACGAGGTAAATCTATCTCAGTTAAAAGTATTTCGGCATTCTGCACATATATATGTTGATTCTGGGTCCAACAGTAAGCTTGAATCAACATCTGTTAAGTGCATCTTCATTGAATATGACTTAACTGAGTTTGGGTACAAGTTTTATGATTATCATAATTAGAAATTTATCAGAAGCAGAGAAGTTACATTCAATGAAAGAGAGATGTACAAGAACAAGGACAACTCAGGATAACCTGTCAGTTACTTCTGAAGTACGTTGAGAAAGGAAAAACAGGTGATTAGGAGGGTGGATAAAGAAGTGCTCAAAGAGCTGAAACACATGAAGTTCCTCAGTCATCTGCTATTGAAGTCAGAATGTTTTGCAAAGTGATACAACTAGTAAGCATGTATTCTCCTTCATTTATATTATTTATTGTTAATTGATAGTGGTGAATCAAAATGCTTTGAGTAGACCACTCAAGCTGAAGATTTAAGGAAGTAAAAGCTTGCCATTGATGATAAGATGCAATCATTGGAGTCAAATCAGACCTAGAATTTGATGATATTACAGGATAACAAAAGAGCACTACACAATAATTAGGTCCACAGGCTAAAAGAGAAGTCAGATGATAGCATACGCTACAAGACAAGACTTGTTATGAAGTGGTTCCAGCAGAAAGAAGTGGACTACACAGAAATTTTTTCTCCGGTGGTGAAGATAACAGTTAGAGTCGCGCTGAGTCTGGCACCAGAGAAAGATCTACACCTAGAACATATGAATGTAAAATTATTTTTCTTACATGGAGATCTAGAGGAGGATTTATACAGAGTGAAACCACAAGGTTACAAAGTTATGAGAAAAGAAAATTTGGTCTGCAAGTTGAAGAAGAGTCTCTATGACTTGAAGTGGGCCCTAAGATAGTAGTACAAGAGGTTTGACAGGTTCATGTCAGATAGTAGGTATATGAAGTGCCAAATAGACCACTATTGCTTCATCAAATACTTCAGTAATTATTATATCTTGCAATTTTTATATATGGACGACATGTTAATTGTAGGGGTACATATGAAAAATATCATAGACTTAAAAGTAGTAACTATAATGTGTTTTTGAGATGGTACAAACTAGAAAAAAATTCTAGGATGAGAATTAGCAGGGATAAGAGTGCAAAAACACTGAAGTTGTCTCGGTCAGAGTATGTTGAGAAAATCCTACATAGGTTCAACGCGAGTGAGGCAAAGCTAGTTTGCACCCCCTTAGGCAACCACTTCAAGCTATTTAAAGAGTCATCACCTAAGTTTGAAGCAGAGCAAACATAAATGAGAGCTCTGTATGCTTTAAGCAGTTGAAAGTCTAATGTTTGTTATAATTTGCATGAGACCATATATTGCATTGGCAGTGGGAGTGATCAGTATTTACATGAGAAATCCAAACAGACATCATTTTGAGGTGGTGAAATAGATTCTCAGGTATTTAAGGGAAATAGCCAGTATGACACTCTGCTATGAAAGTGTAGGGATCAATCTATAAAGATTTATAGATTCAGATCTAACAACATATTTGGATGGTAGAAGTACAAAAGAAGATATCTTCACTTTGGTAAAAACAACGAGGAGTTGTTTAATACTGTAGAGGATATTACACTTTCAACTATGGAGGCCAAATACATTGCCATCACTGAGGCTAGCAAGGATTTAGCTACGGAGATTTATGACAGAATTAGGCAAGGAAAAGAGGATTGGAAAGCTTCATAGTGATACAATGAGTGCAATTATCTTACTAAAAACACTACTTTTCATGTCATAACAAAGTATATAAAGCCGAAGTATCACTTCATACGCTCTCTCCTAGAAGATGGGCATCTGTTCTTGGAGAAAATAGACACAACTCAAAATCTTGAGGATATGTTGATTAATGTGGTGGCTATTGAGAAACTAGAGTTATGTTTGACTTCAGTTAGACTCCGTGAAGGTAGAGACTGGGAGTGAGCCACACTACAGTACATGACTATAAAGATGAAACAGATGGAGATGCAGATCTAGAGGATAGGTGTTGGGTGCTATCAATCTCCAAGTGAGAGATTGTTATGTTGTGGAGCCTGAAACACCCACAATCAAAGAAGCCCATAGTAGCCGCAAAAATGTCTGCACATGAACTTAACGTAGCCACACCAAAAATTGGCGTAGCTATGCCGGTCGACATAACCATGACGAAATGGATTGACCATGCCACCGAGGGTCAATCAACATAGTTTGATCCCGAGCGAGTAAGATCATTACGCCAATACACCGCGTGATCATGCTGCTAAGAGGTTCCTCCTATTAAGTTCCTTAAATTCATAATTTCAAGCGATGAAGGCATTGTTCTCGCGTGCAGTTCTTTTGACAAAGTTCTCGTGAAAGAGAAGAGTTGAGGAGGAGGATTTCAAAGTGCATTTTCTCCTGTGAGATGAAAAGAAAGGGTTCAGAACAAAGTCCTGTAAGTTCCATTCATTGCATAGAAAAGATCTGAGTGAGTTATCTGTACATTTCTGGTTCTTCATGATAGAAATTTTTTGGTGGTGTGACTCCGTGATTTTTTTTGCCGTTCTTGAGTTTTTACATGGTAAATCTTGGCGTGTTTTTTCTGAAATTTTTTTGTTGTGCTTCTGTTAGATTTATTTTGTTCCAGATTTCTCGAATCTGTACGATCATATTCCACGATGTGATTTTGATTTATAATTAATTGAAACCCTAATAGAAGTATATAAAAGTTCCATCCCAACAATGATTCCCTAGTTATTAATAAACTTTTGCTGCATTTCAGTGTTTTCTATGCATTTTACTACTTGGGTTCATTTAAAACAAAACATCCGTGGACCTCAAAACTTTTAAAATAATCAAAGCCAAAAATAGAGATAAAACAAACTTCACCGAGAGTCTAACAAAAAGAAAAGTAAGAAGCATAACCTATCAGAATCGTAAAAAAATCAATCACCTACCTAATTGGCTTGAAATATTTTTCATATTAGACATTCAATTATGAGTTGGTTAAATACTATCAGTATGGTCATAGGAAATCCTAAAAAACTTTCAAAATGTTACCGAGGGAAAGGATTTTAAGCTAAAGAAATCCATCAATTCAAAGATACAAAACCATTTAAAGCTTGAAAAAATCCATGAATGACGAAAACATATGAATGACAAACCTGTTCAACCGAGCATCATATTGATAGACATCGGCTGAAGCACTTTGAACTCCACCATCCACAGAAAATCCTCCAATAATCAACAGCTTTCCATCAAAAACAACTGTGCCAAAACCAGTTTTTACTGAACCTGGCATTGGTGGAAGCATCCAGGTTTTGCCTTCTAATGAGCTCATGACTTCCCAGTGGCTCCCTTTACCATCTAAATCAATAGTTAAGAAATAGAGCCACTCCTCAAGCATACCAGTTTCCTTCCTCACAGGAATAAAGTCCTTGCTTTGAATGAACATCCTCCATCTCCTACAAACAGCACCCATAACAGGGAGGTATTTTCGAGGAATGAGTGCAAGGCAGAACATTGCAACATCATCAGGTAAACCAGGTATTATTGAACAGAATGAGTCATGTGGTGAATGTTGGTTTAACCAGCTAGAAACTTTTGTGTTATGTTGAACAGCAGTAGAGAAACACAACTCAGATTCAGCCACCCGTTTCATAACACTAGCAAGGTCAGGCATCCTTAACTTAGCTTTCTAGGTAACTGAAATTACTTCAATGGATCCGTCCAAGTTAGTTTGCTCGCTTAACAACAGAATCTCCAACTGATGCTGACAAACAGCATCTAACAATATCAGATATTGAAGAGCAATAGTTCATGATGCTCTTTGTTTATATAGTGATTCATGATATGCATCATTAATAGGAATTTTAAGAGACAAAGGTATGAAAGATGCTTGAATATGTGAAGATTTCAATGAAGCCTCAGGTTTTTTCGCCGCTGTCTCAAATGCCATTCCAGAGCCGCTACTCTGAAAAATGTACAAATGAATTGACAGACAGTGTTTTGGAATTCGATTCAACTTGTTAGAATAGTTCAGCGGACCACACATTTCCCTGTGACCTGGGGTCAAATAAACACAAAAAAAGAGTTAATTTCAAGATAGATGTAATGTGCCTAGTTAAGTGGACACAAACATAAATCTTAGATAGAAAGAGAGATTGGAGATCATTACCACAAACAACCATGAAGTTAGGCAATATTTATCCACCAGTGGCTTCCATCTCCACACAATGCTGATAAAACTACAATGATTCATATACAACATTTTAATTTTAATATGGTGGGTTTCAGCTAGTTTAGGCAGTAAAGATCTTGAAAGAAATTGGAAAAATCCTACAATTGAATCCCTCCAATTGAAATATTTGTGCATTGGCCCCTCCAAAAAATAAACATGATACAAAGTAAGAGTTTGGGAAGGAAAAAAATGATCCTGCACTTCATCCTTGACAATCAAACTGTATCTCAAAAACTATTGAGTTCATGCTAATAGGAACAAAGGCAGTGTTAATGTTCCAGAAATTTCAGTGTAGTTGAGCAGCCTTTATTATGGACATTAGCCAACAGAAATTTCAAAAAGGGATGACATCAATGTTGTCACACCATTAGAAAACTTCATCATATCTGATTAAGTTCTAGTAATTCTCACAGGCATAAAGGTTCACAATCAACAGTTTAATAAACATAGTATCAGCACAGATAACGGATGAAAAAAAAAAGATAAAAATCTGAAACAGGCATACTAATATCAGTTTCATATAAGTAGTATTCTTCATTAGCAATTAATTGTTTGAATTTTTTACAACAAAATCCTAAGCAACCAAGTTACCAGAAGATTCAGAGCCCATGTTGCTCATCACAATGATAGACAAAATACATCAGCCCAATATTCTCGAAGACGTGCACAACAAGTTCCATAAAAGTGTGCATAATCATTTTCAATCTACTAGCTCAGAACTAGCACCTAGAAAAAGAACATTTAAGGAATGCCTTCAAAGCTCGAACAATCAAAGATCGGAGAAGTTAATATTCCAAAAAAGTAAAACCAGATAGATCTGAAGTTATAATGCATTAAACTGTTGAAGAATCAGAACACACAAACAACGAAAAAGAAAAAAAAACCCATACCGATATCAAAAATCAGGCATGCATACCACCTGCAAACGGAAAACCTCTACAGTACCGCTAAAAAATAAGCAAAATTTAGCTGAAACACGAACATCAAAGCAGAAGAAAGCGGCAGGCATTCAAATGGGAGGCAGTTCAAAAGGGAAGAAACCAAAAAAAAAAAAAAAAAAAAAAATCTGTAGTCAGAACAGGCGAGATCCGGCCAACCAATGAATCTTCCCACAACAACTCCGGATCACGAAGAATGAGCCATTTCTCTTCAAAATTAAATAAGAAAATACCTCAATGAAATTCTAAGAAGTTAGAGCTCCAATCAATTCAAGCGGAGACGTCGATGGGGAATAAGCGGAGAGGCAGAGAGGTGGCTTGGGAAACGAATTTAAAGGGAGGAGGAGAGCTTGTTGGGAAACAGGATAGCGATGCCACACCACGAGCTTGAAATGGTAATTGTACTGAGCAGTAAAATAAAAGTAATTAAAAATTAACAAATCTCTTTAACGCCGGCAGATAAAGCGAGTTTTTAGCGGATGAAGTTGGCTTAGGTCCTTAAGTTTGTTTTTACTCTTGAGGGCACTTCTCTTTTTTGTTACTAGAAGTTATGGGCCATTACCAACTTCTTTTATCCATTTTTCAAATTCTCGCTCAAATATCAAAGGTGATGATAAAATCCTAACCCGTATTTTTCATTTTTATCATATTCATAATAATTTGATCGTGGTTCGCATAAATGCATCATTTTCAAAAATCACCTATGTGATTGATTCATAAATAACAATGTTTCTTGTGTTTTGTATGTAATTATCCCTAAAAATTATTGAGCAACAACAAGAACAATAACATGCTTTTATCCCACTAAATGGAGTCTGCTGCATAAATCTTCTTTCTTCATCATATTGAGTGTCATATCTTCATTTAATTCTAATAGATTAAGATCATTTTTTTATGTAATTATCTATAAAGTTTATTCAACAACAACAAGAACAACAATTGGCTTTTATCCCATTAGGTGGGGTGAGCTACATGAATCTTCTTTCTTCATTGTGTCATATTGAGTGTCATATCTTCATTTAATTCTAATAGATTAAGATCATTTTTTATACAGTATTCCAAGTCCTTTTAGGTATACTTCTACCTTTTTTAACATAAGTCTAATATAAAACATCTACCATCCTAACCGGATTATCCGATGGTCAATGTTTGATGTGACCGAGCCATCTAAGATGAGTCTCTCTAATCTTGTCTGTCACTAGAGCTACACCAACCAATTCATAGATAGATTCATTTCACATTTTGTCTCTAAGTGTCAAGCCACTCATCCACCTAAATATTCTCATCTCAACAACACTTAACATTGCTTTATGTTTCTCATTCACATTTTGTCTCAAAGCTTTCTGTATGTTTTGCTATTCCAACAGTCACCACAATTATGCTTTGAGAACTTCTTCCTTGTTGTTTTTTAGAATTTTCTGTAGTATAAATGTACTTTCTTCAACCTGAGATGTTAAAGTGTTGTGACGACCAAAAAGCTGTGATCTAACTTTTTGAGAATAAAGTAAAATTATAATAGCCACTGTAGATTTTTTTAAAAATATTTTTTATGCAACAACTTCACAACTTCTTCTTTAAAAAGTTGCAGCCAACCAAACAGATCCTAAGTGGTACTTTTCCATTACATAGTAGGCACAATGCATTTCTACTCTTCAAAAAACCAACTTGAATTCTACTAATAACATCCTCCTTTATATCACCATCACTTTGAACAATAGTCTTGAGATGTCTAAAATATTCACACTTTTTAATGATTTGATCACCCATATTTACAACTCGACCAATAGAGATACTACTTTTAAAATTATCATTCCAATTAGTCGGATTTATATCTACTCAAACAACGACCTTTACACTCCAATGTAGACCTCCATAACTCAGGTTTTTTATGAACTCTTACTCTCGTCATATCCATAAGAAGGATATCATTGGTGAAAAACGTGCACCAAGTTATATCCTCCTATAAATTTTTAGTAGAAGCATCCATAACTAAAGCAAAAGGATATAGGCTTAAAGCCAATCCTTGATGTAATCCAATTAAAATAGGAAAATACTCCATCAATCCTCCTTTTGTTAGAACATAAGTAACAACTCTAGTATACAAATCGTTAATAGCCTGAATATAAGTCATATCAACACCTTTCTTTTATAGGACTCTCCAAAGGACTTCTCTTGAAACCTTATCGTAAGTTTTTGTAAATCAATAAAAAGAATATGTAGAAAACCCTTACCCTCTCCGAATTTCTCCATCAAACCTCTTAGTAAATGTATAGCTTCCATAGTAGACTAACAAGGCATAAATTCAAACTGATTATGAGAAAGCTTTGTATCACTGTTGACCTCACTTTTGTGAGGACCTCTTTTCCTCTTTATAGAAGCCTACAACATAGCCTTATGGTTTTCTAGTGACCTACTTAGATGACTAGAGATGGAACTCACCCATATAGGACTTCTAACTAATACTACACTCACTTGGGTTTTCCTCAGGTTAAGCCTAAATCCTCAACCCTTGGTTAAGATGATTGAGGGTCTAGCCCAGTGGAAGCCCAAGTTGACTTACTATAGGTGGAGATGCCTTAGGCTACCTATGAAACTCAATACTATAGGAATTCCTCTAAAGACCCATTGAATATTTCTGTGATTGAAAAAGCCCATCATACAGAAGGCTAAGCTCATACCAATGAGGGGTTCTTGCCACCTTACCCTAAAAGGCCTAAAAATTTAATGACACCTCCAAAGAGGGAGGAGCGATTCACCTAAATCAATCCTTGGTCTCACCTAAAGCTTTCCCAACACCAATCAACCCTAAAATTGACATGAATCCCAAGCACATCAACGCAGCCCTAAGAAATTGAAATCACCAAGGTTCAACAAAATTCAATTGAACATATTCCAACTTGAGTCAATTATGGAACAGTTGAGCTCATCTCAATAAAACCTAACATGAATCAAGATTTTTAAGTCCTCAAGGCACTTAGGAATCAAAGTTGCTTAGGGAGGCAACCTTTATAATTAACATAATTATTTAATTAAGCTAATTATGAAGGCCCATTAAACCTAAATTTTTGGGCTTAACCTAAAGAGATTTAGGCTAACTCTAAACCCAAAAGCCAAGCCATCAAGAGAGGCCTTAGTCCAAACCCGAAGGCCCATGACTTGAGCCCACACTACTTGACCCTAATGACCCATCATGACACATGGGTGACACAAAAGGACAAAAATGAACTAATTAAACCTATTCCAAACACTAAAAGACGAGCATGCACTCTTCAACAAGGGGACTACCACATGGCTCCTAGATCCAACCCACCCACCCAAATCACTTTATCTATGGGTCAAGCCAAACCATCTTTGAACCGAGCCAACACACCAAAACCTCCCCCAATCCCCTCACACCTTCGACATGCTATCTTCTTCCTCATTGGAGCCTCCATGGTAAAAAAACATCAAAAATGGAGAAAGGAGCCTTTACCTCTACCAACTCATTTTCATTCCTCTGCACATCCTCTGATGAACAACCAGACACTTCCATGCACACCAGAGATCCCCCCATGGGCTTCCACGACTATTTATAGAGGGTAACTTGAGAGCTCCATACACACACCCAACTCCCTAGCCAGCCACTTAAGTCTATTGCTCCCAATAAAAAAAGCATTCCTACATATTAGAGCAACTCATCCCCACCATCCTCAGGCCATCTCCACCACCACATAACCATAAATTCACCATTGAAATCCAGGGTATTTTTTACCTTGACATCAACTTCATTAAAACCACAATCTAAATCTCTCGTTAGCTTCACAAGACCCCATAACATCTTCCCCAATCAATATCTGTGCTTCCCTCGTTCCATAACCTACTCCAACATCGACCCGAGCCACCACTTTGTTTTGCTCATAGCTAGAGCCAATTTTAAAGTGGATTAAAGCAAGGGGAAGCTTCATAACAACAAGACGATCTTCTCTGTCAAGCTCAATTAAGACATCACCCCTTGGGATAAGGTAATGGCTTGAATTCCCTAAAATGGCTTTTAGTTTAGTCTTTTATGAAGAAAATGAAAATGCATGCCCACTTAATCGTATTGATAGGTTTGACTCACTTAGATGAAGTTAGAGGATCAAACCTCATGCAGTTTGGTTAAGCGTAGAGCGTGATCTTATGTTTTGATTGCAGACAGTTCTCAGTCTTCTATCTTGCAGGGATGATGGACGAATACCGTCCATTTTTGTGTATTCAAAACGGACAACAAAGATCACTACGGATGGCGGAACCATGGAGGTGAGCGCACTGGATCGAACCACCTCAGTAGCTTGCGTGGAAAGCACGACGAATCTCAGAGAGCCACGTAGGAGTTGAAAGTGTCTGATGATCAATTCAGTCGCCACATTTTTAAGTAAATGATTCAAAATTTTTTGAATTCTTTAATTCCAACAAAAAATTGTGAACTTTAAAAATCCATAGCTTTGCAAAGAAAAATCACAAAAAATAAAATAAAAATGCTTCTAAATTCATTGAACAGAAGAGAAAATAATAAAAATAAAAATGAAAATAATTTACTTATATTAAAATTTTTAATTAATTAAATATCCGAGAGTGTTTTTTAATTATAAAAAATTAAATTTAACACATAAAAATATGAAATGTTTAAGGATTATTCCCTCTACCATTTGCGACATTCCCAGTTTTTTTCCAAAGTAAGGGGACCTCCTAACATCAAAATGACTAATTTTCCATCAATATTATAACTATTTTAAAAAATAATTATAAAAAAATAAAAAAATATAAAACAAAATGAAAATAATAAAGAAAAATTTAGGGTGGTAACCCTAAATATTAAAATGACAATCTTCACCTCTGAAAATTTTAAAACAAACTTAGAACATTAAGAGTAAAATTGTAAAAATATAAATTTTGCATTTTAGCCCAGGTTGCCTCCGAAACCTAAGTTAAACATAAAAATTAGCTTAAAAACCTTAGGATCACCTCCAAATGAAGACATTAAGAGGTTAACCTCATCATTATGGAGTCTGTTTAATGAAATAACTTTAAATCCAACCTACCCAATTAGACCTAGTATAACTCAATTTAAACTTAAATCCAGTCTAGGCCTCACCCCACTTAGATCTAGCTCCACCTAAGTGACTTCAAGCTCAACTTAGGTTTAGCTCCAATCTAAACCTAACTTTAACTAAATTTGACTCAAAACTCAACCTAGGTCTAACACGACTTAGACCTAGCCCAATTAAAACTTTAACTCTAACTTGAGTTAGGTCTAGCCCAACCAAGGCCTAACTTAATTTAACCCAAACTATAAACCTGACTTAGGTCTAATCTAACTTAGACCTAACTAAATTAAGACTTGATTCAGGTATAGCCTAACCTAGACCTAACTTAACCAA